AGAAGCAGGTTACCCACTGAGCAGGGAGCCCAACGCCAACTCGGGGACTCAATCCCAGGACCCTGGGATCATGACCTGAGTCAAAGGCAGACACTTAACCAACTGAGCTACCCAGGTGCCCTTCATCAAGGAGAAATTTGTTTAACCTTTGCTCCTGACTACCTCTTTCGTCCCAAAGCTCTATCTGCTCTTACAACTATCAAGTCAACGTGGTAAGCCAACTCAGTAGTATGGAAAGATTAACGTCCTTACCTTTTGTTCTTAAGCTTTCCTTGAAGTTTTGACCAGAGCTAAGTAATCGAACATACTTTACTCTTTTGTATCTTCGTATCAGTGCTCTCCTGGCTGGAATTTTCTTTTCTCCTTGGGCTCCTGCATGAAGTGTTCCCTGATTCACCCCAGACAGATGTTAGTCTGGCAGAGTTACTGACTCTCTTTCCCGACACCTTACACAGACTTAATCCTCTAGTACTGAGATTATCTACTGTTGTCCAGACACACTACATCATAATTAGTTTTATGTCCACCTCCATAGCAAATGGCCATGTCCTTGTTAGGTATGCAAAGATGCAGTATGTTCCAAAGAACGGAAGAAGGGAAGGAGGAGGAATATGCTGCCGTAATAATGCAGTATGTGATCTTAGAGCATTGCCTTCAATTTTCAGTGGACAGATTTTATATGAACAAAAGGGAATAATCTGAGGATGAAAATAAGGATCTGTATCTAAATCCTTTTATTAATTACAGTTATGTACTAGAGCCCCAAACTCAGCAAATTCTCTTTTCTCTCTGGATCCAACAACAATAATTTACAAATGCAGATCATTCTAATCAGCCAAATTTTTTAGGCTGGCTCTGGAGCAATATGGGATATGCAGTTCAATGAAAACGCTGGGACCGAAATGAGGCATGTTACATTAGTAATGTGGCTCTGGTTTCACGTGCTACAGTACAGATTTGCATAGGCACTAAATTAGAGACAAAAATCTCAGGAGGATGGCAGATATCTTTCTGCCCCATTTAACAAACACAACTTTTTCTCGTTTCTTAGAGATTGAGCTCTTGTTTCACTTTCTTATTGCCTATCAATCAGCTTGAGAAGACATTTGCAATTGTATTTCCTTCATAAAGACATAAGTCGGACAGCTGCCGACGACACTCATCTAAAAGCTCCTTTCTAAATTACCTCTGTCAGACTGTGTAGAAAGTAAAAGGCACACTTCAGTCTTATTTGATTAAATCAGGGAATGTACCAGCCAGCCAAAGAATGGAAAGTCCTTTCCATTTATATGCTCCATTAACTGCACTTCACTGAAAAAATAAATCTCAGTGCAATTCTTTACCTCGTTCCTCTAATTGCTACTTACAAATTCTTTTCTCTCAATCATTCTGTCTTTCATAAATCAGGAAGCAAAAGCATTTGAGGCCAAGGCCCGGGCTCTAATTTAACATGATTTGCCACCATGCCACTATTAATGCCAAAGACAAATAATATACCAAATTACTATGGGAACCAGGGCATGAGAAGGTGAAAGCCCTCCCTTCCATAAGACAGGTGGGGCTTTGTGGAACCTTATGCAACACCATCAGGGGCCATGTCATTTTGGCAAAATTCCTCAGAATCTTCTCATTCCCAATCCAGGAGCTGTGTTGGCCCATCCTGCATCCCCTGAAACCTAACACATAATTGGTTCTTACTTCCAAAGGAGAAATTACAGGGTAATCATTCACATCGCAAAGAGATTATTCGTTATATGTTCACTTTCAAGAAACAAAGCATGTGACAAAATACTAAAAAAACCAACATAGAAAAGAGATCAACAGAGGGTTATTATTACCATTAAAATAATATATTTTACTTTATAAAAGCACTCATCTCAAAATTCTCTAAAGTATATAGTATCCTTTTACCTTGAATTCTTATCTACATCTAGATTATAATTTCAAAATTGGAAGTGAGGTCACATAGTTAAATCAGTCAGAAATAAAAAACAAGTATCTTTATAGTTATAAATCAATGGAAAGAAATTACCCTGTTTTCTAAAACATTAATTCACCCAGTGCTTCAGTGATAAGGCTTGTTTCCAGTGATATAAAACTACCCCAATACATGCATCTGTGTTGTGCCCCCTACATCCAAGGAAAGAGTTCTCCTACAACTCTTCTCCCCGCTCCCCACCAAATATTTCTTCCTCAGCCTCATCCACTTATATTTGCTCTGTTTCATCCTCGTCCTCATGCAAACAAAAAATGTCAATTATAAGGAAAGAAATCATTGAATTTCCACTGTAAGAAAAATATTTCTTGAGAGGAAGAGACAAAGAAAATGCAAAGCACAGTACTAACATGATAATATATAATTGCTTTAGAGAAAAGAAAACTCAATTGTATGTATGTTAGTGAATGGGGTCATTTGTTTGCTTTTCTGAAATGTTTTCTCCATTTTATTCAGAAAATGCCTTAAAGAGTTGAGCTGAAGTAAGCAACCGCATTCCCCTTTGCTACAGTTCTATAAAATGTCAAGTCAAAATTGGGGCACAAATGCACTGCTGGTTACCAGAGTAGACAAATCTTTGCCACACATGCTGATTTCATCGGGATTCAAATTATTGCTAACAGTCTTGGGTTCGTTAAATTCAAAACATATTTTATGGAATATTTTGGCCCTTCAATTTTAAAACCATGTGTCCTTTAATGAAAATTTAAATTCAAGAGAGTTTGATTTCATTTGAAATCATTAAGATTTAGGTAAGCTTCTTGATGTTGACCAAAAAGGTCTGCCAAACCTACAGAATAATGTTGAGTGAGAGGACTGGCAGTCAATGAGAGGCCAGTGTTGGAATGAGGGCACTAGTGAAGGAGTGGGTGCAGTGGTCTGTAGACACCAACAAGTCAGCCGTGAAACTCTGGAGGAGCGGAACAGCCCGGAGGGTGCAGATTTATTTTTTATAAAGCGTCCAAATCATTTGGCACACCTACTTGCCTTTTTTAGTAGATGAAATACAGTTTCTCACATCTATCTTTTCTAGTTATGTGCATGTCCATGCATGTGTGTGCATACACACCACTGTATTAATAAAACACAAATTTCTTGAATAGGGAGTTTTTTCAAGTTTTTTAAAAAGTAAGTCATTTCCTTAGATGACTATGCAAGTATTAGGTGAGCCATGAAGTCAGCAGAAGACCTTGTGCTAGAATACTACTACTGGGTGGCTCAGTCGTTAAGCATCTGCCTTCGGCTCAGGTCATGATCCCGGGATCCTGGGATTGAGCCCCACATCGGGCTCCCTACTCCATGGGAAGCCTGCTTCTCCCTCTCCCTCTGCCCCTGCTTGTGTTCCCTCTCTCGCTGTGTCTCTCTCTGTCAAATAAATAAATAAAATCTTAAAAAAAAATGTATTGAGCACTTATCACATGCCAAACACCCTGCTGATGACCCCCCCAAACATCTCATTTAATCCTCAAAACAACTGCATGAAGTGAACATATATCCGACCTCACACCTTTTCCAAAGTCACACACATCCTTTCTACTTATCCTTTATAAAGCAGTTTAGAAAAGAATGTATGAAAGTAGGCCATGCTGGGAGGCTTTTGTTTCAGGCTTTATTGCTTCAAAGAATTGGCATCCCTGACATGATAGGCAGAGGGAAGTGCCATTTATTTGTGCCAGGATCAGAACCTGATGGTGACAGTCTACATACTAGAGAGTCAAAGTTCAGGAACTAAACACTGTACCAGGTTCAATCTAACATAACAAAAAACACCAGGGGGTAAGACTTTTTGCAACAGTGTTATATACTGTATCATTATTCAAAATATTCACTGCTCCTCTGTGGGAGAATTGTTTTTTATCTCCCCTTTCTGTTGACAACAGGTTTAGCCACCAGACTTGCTTTGGACAATGAAATGTGAACAGAAGGTGAAACATGTCACTTTTCAGAGGCGTTCAGATCCAGCACATGAATCGCTGTGTTTCCATGTTCCCTTTATTATGAGCCCAGCAGTGCCCTGAAAGGAACTTCTCCATCAGCCTAGGTCCAAGATTGAAGACAACAGATGGCAAAACCCCAGACAGCCCATGGTGAACATATAAATGAGAATGAGAAAAATCAACTTTTTATGGTGTAAAGCCCCTAAGTTTGGTAGGTCATTTGTTACCACACATTAACTTTGTCTATCCCTACAGATACAAACAATCCAACACAGTGATTAGAGGATGAAGTCAACAAACTGCCTGGCCTCAAATCACAATTCCAGCACTGTTATTTATGTTATTGAAATTTAGTTCCAAAAATCTGACCCTTAAATAAGCTGAGCAAATGTATAACAAATCAAATTTTGTCCCTTGCATACTCCCACTGGCTAAATGGACAAACAAGTAGGATGGATAATTTACAATTGGTTTACATGAACCAAAATAGGTTACAAAGCTCATACATCTCAAAGGCTTTTGTAGAAGTGTTTCCAATACATAACCATGTTGTAAATTTCAAGTTCTAAGTGACTTTGGTGCCATAATTCCTTTCAATAACACTTATCTAGTGTTTGTTCTGTATTTGAGTTATGTACCTGCTTTTTTCTTTCCGTTACTGGAATTATAGAACATTATTATTTCTCTATTTCTGATCTTCTTCAGACATTGAAGTATCATACTCAGAAAATAATGGTATGTGATTTTCTGGTAGGTCCTTTGACCATATTTAATAATTCATTTCTTATCCCTGTTTATCATACTTATAAGTTTTGACAAGGAAAAACATCTGTTCAGGTAATTATACCCTAAAATGCTTTCAAAGTGATTTGGAGTTGCTTATAGATACCACCACAGGGCCAAGGACAAATTGAGAAATGGGTGCAAAGGAGAATAAAGGCAGGCCTGTTAGAGGGATTCATTACATAAAACTTGAATGCAGCAGGAGCTAAAATAGTTACAAATGCTCTGTTAATTCCACTTTGAGATTCCTAGTGCCCAAAGCAAAGAGAGAAACAATCACTTACCAGATACGTAATGTCCCAATAATTGTAATAAGCAATCACTCAAGAGAAGCACAACTTCTTACGTCATGGGAATCTGTCCAGCTTCTCCTCTGTGGGCCAACACAGAAAATGTGAGATAGCATCCTTAGCAGTGTCCTTATCAACAGCCCTACAAACACAACAGCAAAATACAGATTTCCTACTCTGCATTCTATTAAGACTTTAATTCCATCCTATGACTTGAGAAAATATCCAAGATGATATATCCGTTCAGGTGATTTATTCGCAGTAAGCTTACAAAGCTGTCTAAGTCATGTTTAAGTCATCCTTACGTATAATGTGCCATGTGGCATTTCTGAACTAAATACAAAAATAAGTATTGAAACACTGATCATGGTTGTAGATACTCTGTAGTGTGTGTGCTACAATTTATTTAGGCCTAGATGTTGGAAAAACATTCTGGTTTATTTGCAAAAGAATTTTGAATAAGCAAGATCAAATTCTTTTATTTAATTCAACTCAAGATCATACTCTTCTATTCAATCCAACAATCTCTACATCCCTTGCCATCAACATTTTTTTCTATTGTCATCTCCAATTAATAGTTATTTTTCATTTCAATTTTCTGAAGCCATTCTTCTTTCTATTACTGACTTCACTGGCTAGGCACCTCACTTAAGGTGGCAATCACACAAAACTATCCAATGAGTATAACTCATTACAGATGTCTTAGGTGTCCACATAAAAACTATACAATATTATTGCTGTTGGCACTTGTCTTCAGAGCACCTTGCTGTCTATAGAGTTTTTCTGGCCTTGCTTGTCTTACTACATGAATGTCAATGATTCTCATGGTAAAACAGTGCCTTGTTGAAGAACATCAACAAAAGCAGTCCAGAAGATGGGGGGTGGAGAAGATCAGTGAAATAATGAATGGATTTCAGTATGTCTCTGAAATCTTGGACTCAAACTTGGGCAAATGTCTTCAGAAGCCATAGAATGAACAGATATGAAAAAAATCTTCATTTACATTTGTAAGGTCATTTCATTCTGTTATTCACTTCTAAATATATCAGGTTTTTAAAAATAGTTTATATTTATTTATTTGAGAGAGAGAGGGAGCAGGGGGAAGAGGCAGGGGGAGAAGGAGAAGCAGAGTGCCTGCTGAGCAGGAAGCCCCATATGGGGCTCAATCCCAACACCCAGAGATCATGACCTGAGCTGAAGGCAGACGCTTAACTGACTGAGCCACCCAGGTGCCCCTAAATATATAAGGATTCAGAAATTATTTCACTGTGGGAATTCAATATTCTTGTTTGTTTGACCCAGAGTAAGTTGGTTAATCTTCTTGTGCCTCTGTTTCCCCATCTTTAAAATATAGATTGCAATAAGGCCTACTTCATAGGGTTGTTGTGAGGAATATGTGTGTTAAAATTCATAAACCACTTAGAGTCATGCTTGGCAACAGTGTGAGCATTACAAAGTGCCTGATACAAAAGTTTTATTCTTATCACTCTCTATATTTTTTCCTTATCCACTATTCAATAGCCTGAAATGATAGACATGGGCCCCATGAAAATTAAAACACATTTTTAATTTTTCAGATGAATGCCAAATTCTACTTCATTAGGAAGAAATGAAGCTACAAGTTTTCCTTTCCTCACACACACTGTTTTAATCAATAAACAACATGACATTTTAATCAGTGATAATTCAAGAAAGATTTGTTATTGCTAAGGACTCTTCACAAATTAGTACTTTTTGTTAAAGGCCCGAATAAAGCCAACTACAGTTTTAGATTTTTTTTTAATTTAAAGACCCTTGTCCTCCATCCAGCTTGTCCCTGAAAACTCTGTTCACGTATCCCTAGCCTGACAGCAGGTTACAGTGAAAAGAGAATGGGTCTGGAAATCAAAAACTTGTCCTAAACTGATGGTATCATTCACTGGTTCTTTCAACAAAGCTTGTCCCCTTTATGAACTTAGTTCCCTGCAAGGGCTAAATGGAGATTCTCCTTTATAATTATAAAACTCCATAATTCTCAGGAGCTTTTCACATGTTATCTATAGATGTTTGACAATGTGACATTAACTCCTCCACAGTTATACATCTACATACAGAATTGGACAGAAGATGAATTCTCCTCATCTGGATCATTCATGTATTACCCAGGTTTGTATGCTTTCAAGAGAAAACAAAATAGTTCTGTAGAGGGCAAGATGGAGTCCCTCATGTCAAGCAGTGAACATAAGTGGGCAAAGGCATCACACCTAAGACCGGATATCATGAAAACCAGTACAGGTGGACGTCACCTAGAACTGATAACCAGCAAAACCAAGAGAGCCTAGAAGAGCCAAGAGCTGATAGTCACCAGAACCAGAGGAGGCCCAAGACCGATTAAACTCCTTTACAAAGGGAAGACTTTTGCAGCAACCTGTCAGATTCTCCAGATTCTTCCACATCAGAAAGGCAACTGCCATGAGAGCCTCTGCCTGTTTGATCTCTGAACATGATAGAGCTTCCCCATGGCTTGAATAAGCAGTAGGCCCTGAGAGCTGAACTGGGCTAGACCGCGGCCTAACCTCAACTGTACACTCATGAACTGACTTTGTGTTCAGTTCCTTCACTTCTTACCCCTTTCAGTATCTTGTTTGTTGTGTGACTGTATTATGCTTTGCTCTGTGTGACGTGTATGAAGCCAATTTAAATATATACTGAAATGTCACTGAGTTTGAATCTTGAACCTACTCTACAATCATGTTAACCTTGCTTTATGATTGCAGCGGACATGAAATACTGAATAAAGACACCAGTGGTGTGTGCGCCTGCATAGGGTGCTCATGATAAGTTCTTTTATTTGTAGTGTACTCATGACAAGCTCCTATTTAAAGCTATTTCATAACTTAAAAATTAGAATATTCCTAACAGTGTGGGAACTGTCATGCCTTTCTTTCCACAAAGCAAACACAGATTTGACTATTTTTTACCTTTGCCATCATGTCCAATTTCTGGCTTCTTCTTAGTGGTTAGTCACAAATACAAGCGAGATAGTCCTTGCCACATTTGCTTCTCAAAATCTAACTCCCTAAATATAGCTCCTTCACCCCCTCAGCACACAAACATGGAGCTATCTTCTGGGGTTCTTACTTGTACATCCTCGTGCCAAGAAACCAGTTGCTTGTTTTATTTCCAGGAGCACTAGTACCTTAGTGGTATGAGCAACCATATTATTCACAACTAGAACCATACACTGTACGTTCTTGGAGATACTACTGGTGTCACAAAAGGTGGGAGACAGTTCCTAGAGTCACATTCCCTCCAAGAAAAGAAAATAGACAAACCAACAAAGTAGAGCTCACCCCAGGGCTTCCAGGGGACAGGGACTGGGTCAGGCACAAGATGAAGCAGGAATCTCTGAAGAATTTAATAAAAATGTGTAAAAGAAAGAATTTGATAAAAATGAGCCAGGCCCACAAAAGAAAGGAGTCGAGGCTAAATTCATAGAGAATTAGAGTTGTGGGCAGCCGGGCGGGGGCGGGGGGCAGGGAAATAGACTAAATCAACAGACACCATTGAGAGGCAAGAGTCCCAAAGCAACAATGATGTAGGACTAGCACCAGGAAACAAAGTTGAGTCTGAGATTCCTCCTTTGAGCTGTAACTGAGATGAAAGGATCTGCAGTGTCTGGGATAGTTCAACCACCCACCCAACAGTGGAGGCAAACTGTCCTTAGTTGAAAGCTTCCCTAAGGTATAGGTCCACGAGTCTCCTACAGATTGAAAGCAAGAATGACCTCAAAATAAAAATCACCACACACACAGGAAAACAAGCCACTATGTAGGAGAGTCAGCCCATAAAAAACAAAGATCTAAACAGAAAGAATTGCAGATATTGAAACTGTTTGACATAATAGAAAATAGCTATGTGTAAAATTTGTAAAAGAAAAATGGGATTATAAAGTCTATAGTAAAACTATGAGAAATAAGCAGATAGAAACAAAAAGGTTATAATGTACAGAAATAAAAAATTATAATTGAAATTATATATGTTGAAATTTAAAAGCTCATTGAATGTCAATAGATTTGACAAAACATAATAGGTTAAAGGAAACAAGAGTCAGGGTGTGGGGCTAAAAGTTCAAACTCTAATTGTACATTGGTCTTCTGGCTACTAGCCCCCATCCTGGCTCAATATAGAGGCTCCCAGCCAACAGACATCTCATTAGCATACAAAAGACATTCTTAATCACTCTGGAAGTTCAAGGGTTTTAGGAATTGTTTGCCAGGAACCAGAGGCAAAGACCAAATATTTATTTTTTATTATATTACATTTCTTTTAAATTGAATATTGTCCTTTAATGAACAATAGCCATTTACATTTATTATGATTACATTTGCATAGCATTGCTTCACATCTTCAAGGTGGGACCTTCAATCATTTTGACACTAAACAACCAAGACTATAATTGTTTTCATTGCATTGAGTGACTGAATTAACAAAAGTCAACCTTTTATTTTGTATATTTAGCATAAATTGGAACAGAGTCTGTTTTTCCAGAAAGTTTTTTTTTTTTTAAGATTTTATTTATTTATTTCAGAGAGAGAGACAGAGAGAGAGAGTGAACAAGTTGGGGGAGGAACAGAGCGAGAAAGAGAGAAAGAATCCTCACGACCCTGAGAGCATGACCTGGGCCAAAATCAAGAGTCAGATGCTTAACCAAGTGAGCCACAGGCGCCCCTCCAAAAAGTTATTTTTAATGCAATTAAACTGAAAAACCTTGAGTTCCAGGAAAACAGGAGCCACAATGTTTCCAATATTTCTTACTTCTCTGAAGTCAAAAACAGTTATTCTGCAGCTATAAATGTGAATCAAAGAGTCACAGAATCTCATAAGGGACCTGTAGTAGGCAGTGTAGTAGACCCGCAAAATGTCTATGCTCTAATTCCCAGAACCTGTGAATGTTACTTTATAGATAGCAAAAGGGGCTTTTCAGACATGATTAAAAGTATGGATTTTGAGATGGGGAGATTTTGTTGGATTATGCCTAATCGAACGATGTAACTCTTAATAGTGGAGTTCCTTTCCAACTATGGTCAGAGAGATGTGATGA